CATCCCACTCATCACTCTAAATGAATCCACTTTCCCTTTTCTTTATCTATTCCCCTATCCTCCAAAAAGCCATCTGCTATTTCCTTTATGAAAAAATAAAACCTACAATTAGTGTCTTGTACTTCTTTTCTTTCTCTGAAAAAGAGAACTATTATGCAAATACTCTGCAATTTAGTTTCAAATACTCTTTGTAGTGTGATGAGCAATTTTCCTTCATACAAACCCAGCTTTTTTTGCCAGGACTTACTAATAGATTTTTTTTTAAAAAAAGAGAACTTTCACTTTTCACATGAAAAGTCCTCTAACGTAAACTTCTCAACTGCATCTTTAGAATGAGATTATCATTATTCTTTGTATTGTAGAAGGTAAAAACAATCATTTTATATAAGGCATCCTCAAAAAGAAGGCTGAAATAACCTCCAAATCTTACTCCTCCCTTGAATGTCATTATTCTCTTTACCTGAGGAAATGACCTGTACAAAATACCACTCTCAGGAAATCACAGAGAAATGTTTTGCTTTGTTTTTTCCTACAAGTGTAACGTAAGGGATGACAGTTTATCTGTAAGTACAGATTTGTCATTTGATTTTAGCTGCTCCTCAGACGCTGACTATAATTTGACCCAATTTATTCAGGTAGGGCTAATGGGATGTGTTTGAAGCCACCTCATTAACAAGATAAACATCTACGGTGTGAAGAGCTGATGGAGCTGAAGTGAAAATTACAGTATCATAAGAAATTACTCCATATTCAGAATCAGAAATTCTAGTTTTAAGACCGATCCTGCAGTGTCTTCATTTCACAGCTTAGAATGGCCATTTCTTTCCACTGATTCCTGGCGATCAAAGAACTGTTTTTAGAAGGGTCCCAAAGACGTCGCATGTTGTTTAGCAAGGGAAAGTAGAGATTCATATTTGGTCCAGTTTTGCCAAGGTCCTTAAGGGTTTGTCCTTCCTACAGTGGCTTCCCCTCAGGGACTTGCTATGCATACAGTTCCTAAGTTCCAGACCTGATGGCCTGCGTGTGACCTACACTTGTAAGACAGTGCACAAGAAAGCCCAAGGGGCCACCAAGACAGACACAGAACTGTTATAAACTTAATTTAATTGCATATCTGACATTTAATATCTAATTAAATATCTAACAGCACATAATAATGATACTTATCTTGACTAGATACTTTGCACGTTGGTTGGTGTGTACATGTATCTTTCATGTGTGTATTATAATTTTGCGAAGGAAACATTAAGGAAGGAAACACTGTGTGAACCATACGCAGTATTCAGTTAGATGACAGGTAAGGTAGGTTGGCTAACACAGCTAACGTTCATTTCTCTACTGTGCTTGGAAGCCATCTCCCAATCAGTGGCTTCAAGCTTCTGCGACAAAGACTCAGAAACAAAAATCCTAATCCTCTGAGACACTGCGACACCAGTGTATCGGGAGGCTTTTTTCTCATGGGCCTTGTATCACTCTTCTCTATGCCAACACAGTCCCCTTCTTCCTTGCTCCAAAAGTAAAATGAGCCCTCACATCTGAATCCTGGAAATCTGTATTCTCCATCACACACGCCCCGTAACCATTAGGCACCACTAAAACAGTAGTGGAAGTTAAAAACCAGACACCAAGGGGCTGGGGATTTAGCTCAGCGGCATAAATGCCTGCCTTGCAAGGAGGCAGTTGTGAGTTCGATCCCTGGTACCGATAAAATGGAAAAAGACCAAAAACAAAAATAATAAAAAAATAAAAAATAAAAACCAGACACCACCCCTCAGGTAGCTTTAAGGTTCTCATAGTAACAATCAAACCCTTTTACATGGCAGGTGGTAAAAACTGAGCTCTGGGTGCCCTTCTCTCCCTTGCTCCTCCCATTTGCTACTTTCCCTGTCCAGAGAACTTTTGTCAGTGTTTCAGAACTTGTTTCTGCTGCTTAAGTCTGGGTGTGTAAATGATACACTTATGCTGTCAGCTCTTAGTTCTTCAGGTTTATGCAGCATCCACCAGCTCTCTGGGCAGTGTGCCTTTACGTCCTTCCTATTACCAGATGCAGAAGCATCCCTCTCTTCCCTGATCTTCCAGGATAGTCCTGGCATTTCTGCTTCTATCAATATGTGGTGTTTGCATTGTGATAATTATGCAGCTATTTTTCACTGTGCTGTGTAATGCATGTTTTCTTTTCTGTTACACACCTTTATTTCACTTCAAACTAATTTCTTCTTTCTACTTCAGCTTAGTTTTCTAGGTATCTGTCACTAATTTGATCTTCGGCTGCTGGTAGAAAAATCCTTTTGATTTCATCCTGAGGTATTGGGTAAATTCTCGCTTCTTGGTTTACCTTTCCAGAGCCTTTGTCTGGCTCCAGTCCAGGCTGGCTTTTCTGTCTGTCTGTTTAGTCTGGAAAATTCTCTTGTCATTATTTTGGATTCCTATAGCTCATGTAAGGTCCTTATTTTCTCTATTTCATCCTTTTAAATACTTTTTCCCTGTTTTATTATGAACGTATCCAGCAAAGAAAGAAAACAGGAAAATTTATTTCATTTTTGAAAAGATTTTTTGTATGTCCCAACATGTTTGTCACATCCACTGAGTTGAAATTTTGATGTGTGTAAGTTTTTTTCTGATGTGTGTAAATTTTTATCAAAACTCAGAATTTTGATGGCATGGACCCATTGAGAAAAGGAATGAACAAATAGTCTGTATTTTCATCATAGAAAAGTTTACATAACATTTATCTTCCCTAGAATACTTCTCTTTCCTTTGCTCCTGATAACCAAATCCACACTACTTCTCACTGGGCTCTCCAAAGGTAGAAAAAGCCACCTGTGATCTATAAGTTTCCAAAGCGTACTATAAGCAGTTCTGATGTCCGTCCACCTCACATATTCAGAGATTTGTGTGATAATACTGTCTCAGATTCTGGTGATATGCATTGGTGGATTGCTTCACATTTCTTCCTCCTGCTGAGTATAGTCGGGATATTTTATTGTTCACTGGGTTATTACCATCAGTAAGCCACTTTATTTTTTAACTATGCTATTTTATTACCTTCCTCTAGGATTCCTTTGTAGCAATTCCTTTATTGTCAATATAGTGGAATTGAGAAAGGGTGGAAATAACTTGTGTACAGTATTCAATCTCTCATGGCATTTTAAACAAATTCAATATAGCTTAACTTTTTTGGTCTATGATATTTCAAAAGCTAGAGAAATGTGGAAGAATACTATAATGAATATTCTGTTTCCCTATATAAGCTCGTAACAAATTGCCATGTATGCTATCCCCATATATGTATATATGTGCATATATTTGTATACATATACGTAAACATAGATATACACATATTTATCCTCTCTCTCTCTCTCTCTCTCTCTCTCTCTCTCTCTCTCTCTCTCTCTGTTGTATCTCTGGTAAATTATTTGAATGTAATATACAGAAACAAAGTACTTAATTCACAAATATTTCAGAATCTAAAGATCAAAGAACATTCTCCTGCATGTCTACAGTAGCATTATCATTTTTAAATATTAGCATTGTTGTAGTGTGACATAATATACCCCTGTGCCCTTAGATGTCCCAGTAGAATTCTATATAGAGGTGTGTACAATTTTTAGTTTTATCAAACTGTTAGAATTTTGATATCGCAGACCTATTTGGGAGAAGGAATACCGATAGAGATGAATACCTGTTTTCTGTAAGTTTGCTAAGTATGCTCAGAAGCAGTTCATATACAATCAGTCCATTCCCTCCCTGTATAGCTTTGGATTCCTTTCCAATCAAGGATCCAAAACCCAAAATTGCCTTAATTCTATAATGATTTGGGGGGGGGGGGTACCGGGAATCGAACTCAATGACCTTGCGCTTGCCAGGCAGGTGCTTATGCCACTGAGCTAAATCCCTGGCCCAACTCTCTATAATGAATTTTAATTTGTACAGCACATCCTTCTTTTAACTCTCTCAGAATATTTATATTTCCATTGTGTTCAGGCCAGTTTCACTTCAGAATGTCCTAAAATGCAGATTTGTTTAATTAATTTCTTCTGAGTAGATTTATGTTAAATGTTATTGACATGAATATTACATGGGTGATGCTATGTTCCTTTATAAAGGACAAATTTTACTATTACTGTCACAAGACTTCAACTTTATTTTTGTAATATTAAAGCACATATCAAAACATGATAGTGCATTAAAATATTCCTTATGATAATATTTACTTCAGAATTTAATGTTATTTAATAATAACTTTGGATTGAACATTAACTTTAGATTGTACTAACAATTATAGTTCTGCCTTTTATTATCATTATTAAGATAATAATAAAGAAATTAGAACTTGGTTCTCTTGCTTTGTGAAATCAGGAAAGTGGGACAGATAAATTTTTGTAACAGAACCTAGTTACCAAATTTTATGCATCCATGAATAAAATATCATTTTCAATTTTGAAAATGAAGTAAATATGAGTAACATTATAAAGAAAAATGTCTTATGAAACTATATATTCTATAAAAATGACAATGGGTACATTGCATGTAATTGTTTGCGTTTTTACACCTTATACATTTAACCTTCGTATGCTTTCCAACTCTACACTAATAATGAATTGAATTTGGGTAACCACACTCTAGTTGCAAATAACTGGTTTTGTGTGGATCATTATAGTCTACAGCCAAGAACGAAAGTTAAAATTCATGGTGCAAGTTGAGTTTCATTTCAATATACTTGATAAATAAAATATAATACTATTCATACGAAAGAAAAGAAAGTTTGGTATTAATGCAATAGACATTCTATAACTGCTTCCACTTGGTAAGTGTATAGACCTTACTTTTCATTTAATTTGATTGAAGTCAGTCATTTTAAGGATAGTCACAACAGTGTCTCTTTGGATGACTTCATCAAGTACATTTCCAAAATCACTGTCAGCACCATCCTACATTGCAAGTGACTACAGTTCTAAGGAGCTTTGAGCTGAATGGTGGCCTCTCCCTTTCTCTCACAGGAAGCGCTCATCATGGCAAGCATGGATCACCCGCACCTGGTTCGCTTACTGGGCGTGTGCCTGAGCCCTACCATCCAGCTGGTCACGCAGCTGATGCCCCATGGCTGCCTGCTGGATTACGTCCATGAACACAAGGATAACATCGGATCCCAGCTGCTGCTGAACTGGTGTGTACAGATTGCCAAGGTGAGTGCCATCACTTCCTAGCGGAGTGACGTTTCTGGGTTTGTATCTCTTAACTTGGAACAGTTTGGATATTAAGAGTATGTCAAGCCTTTCAACCCGTTCAAGCAGAATAAAGTATATTTTCTATATTGGAAGACACATAAGGAGGTCCTTACCTCAAATTGCAGATCAAACGTGATATATTTATGTGCTTTTAGGCTGTCATACTGTGCCATCCATGTTATATTTACTAGATACCCAAACAAATAGCTTACTAGTCAAAGGGGATGACTGTCATACTGGATTTGTTTGACGTTTTGTTTGATTCGGTGGAGTCAGGTTAGTAAACAGAATCAAGAAAGAAAAGATCGAATGTCTGAATTGTTTCTTTTTTAGAAAATTTTATTAAAATACCCTATAGAATTCTCAGCATCACAAATGCTCAAAATCAAAATAACTTCCAGAGGTTTTGGTTTGTAGTTGGTTATTGTTTTGAATTGGTTTGGTCTCACACTAGGGCTTAGGGTTGTAATAGATGTAAGAAAAACAGTCTTGGTGATTAGGAGGGTGCCCTGGGGTACCCTGATAAGTCCACTCCCCACTAGAGACTGTGGTTTGGGAAATACCACCAGAGAAACTTGTTCTTTCCATTGTTCAATGGGAACTAAAGGGTTAGGTTAAATTCTCCAATATAAATTTTAGCTCAAAGTTTTGAAGCCTTCCGAGGGCGAAACAAAACATTCACATTGTGAAGGCTACCAGCATGTAACTTCTGGTACACATTATGTTCAAAGAAACCTTTCTTTTTATTATCTCCACCTGGGTGGAGAACCTTTTAGAGCTTTCAGTGATAACAAACACCCTGCTGTGGCTTGCGAGCCCTAGGCTCACCTCCAGGGATCTATACTATCTTTTGTTTTGTTTTATTTTTTTGAGGCACAGCCTCACGATGTTTAATACCCTCTAACTAGAGATATAGCCCAGGCTACTGACCAACTCACAGGGATCCTCCTGCTTCAGCCTCCAGAGTTCTGGGATTGTAGCACACACCACCAGCCTAGATGTCTTTATAGAAACTTCTCCCTCTACAAAAACAGATATGTGATGAGTTTTAGTTCACCTAATAAACTTAGCTAAATCAAAATATGACCTGGTATTTTATAAGTTTTCTGGATATTCATCTTGACAGTGTACAAAATAGGTGCCAAAATATTGTTAGCAGTTTTGCCTTCTTTTCATAATCTAATAATGAAGGCACACATTATCAAAAGACAAAATTTACCATCATTCTTAAAACACATGCTTCCCAAGTTACTTGATGGTTAAGTGGAGTTTAGTGAAATATTCTGGAAGCTCCAAGTAGCTTCCTTATGGACTCTGTTATGATTTTGTACCTATCATGTGATAAACTCAGAGTTTTGTGGATTCTCCATGGCAATGAAGTTTGAAATGTAATATTGACTCTATATTTATGCAAGAACTTCTGTAATTTATAAAATGAGCTCAGTAGGCCAGAAAAATTCTCAAACCATCCTAAGATTATACATACAAAGAAAGCTAAACTTCAAATTTCTTAACTTTATATGTCTTACTGTATTCTTCACAATTTAGATTTGTCCTTAGGGATTTATGGCAATCATATGGCATGTATTCAACACTGTGTACTGTGATATCAGAAATTATTTTGAGTTCCCTGAATAATCAGGCAATTTATACCTTCTTGCCTTTCAAATGCCAGCCTCTCTGTTTAGAAGTTTGGCTGTGAGAAACAATATCTGCCATTCACAATTTAAAGGAGAGATTTAAATTGGCTCATAGGTTCAGGGGCGTAAGTCCCTGGTTGGTCAGTGGAGGGGCGTGGTGAAGGAAATCTACTCACACACACTGGCCAGGAAGCAGAGCAGGGAGCAGGGGCAGAGAGGAAGGGGTGAAGAGCAGTTATACACCCAGCTCACACCTCCGTGACCCACCCAGACATACCCAGAAGTGTGTGTTATCAACCCCTTGGGTGACTTTCAAGACAGTGAAGTTAGCACTCAATCTATTTCTTGGAAGCCATGAAACAGAGAATTATTTTAGGAATGTCTCTAAAATATGGATGATATGGACTGAATGAAGACAGAAATTTTACAAATATCAGTCTTAGGAATGCAAGGCTTATTTTTTTTCTTCCATCTTTACACCAAAGTAGACTCATGAAAATATGTGAGATATCATAACAATTGCTCCAGCATGGCTAATTTGTCTGTATCTCTTTTGTCCTTATTAATAAAGCTAGCATGTAAAGGGAAGGATATTTCTTTAAACTAACTTCTGTTATAACATCCCAGTGGGAACTCCATCAGTACGGAGCAGTAGTAACACTTGTATCTGGCATCAGAAAACCCTGCCTCTGTCCAAGGCACTGCTTTTGTACTTTCTGTTCATTACTTAATGTGTCTCATCACAAAACCATGCGGTGGGTATTGTCATACCTCCATGGTGCTTCAGGGAGGTGGGACAGAAGGGGTGCTGAGAAGTTCTTCACAGCTGGTGCTAACAGGTTGGGCCGTCATTTGATGACAGACTAAAGATTCTCCAAAGTGTTTTTGTGGGCTTAGAGTACTGAAGCATAATACTGATAAGGATGAGTCTGCCTGGAGGAAGGTATTTAGCTTTCAAATGCGTGAGGCAAAGCAGTATATAAGAGCAAGATCTGGAAGTGGGCTTACATTTTAGAAATTTCTGTCCATGGTCAGTTGACCCCACTGCTTGGGGCCAGTGGCAGGGAAGCACAGATGGCCGGGAGTGTGTGGTGGAGTAAAAAGCCGCTCTACTCATGGCTAGGGTGTGAAATAGAGAAAGAGGAAGGGATTAGGCACACATGAATTCCTGCAAGGCCACATCCCCCTGGTCTCTCAGAAGTCCTCCCACTGGTCCTGTCTCTGTTTCCACCATTTCCCAATAATGCCAACACTTGGAGCTTTGGAGGCCATTGGAGAGCGAAGGCATGCCCCGAGCGAGGCATGTGTTGTATATCTAGATTTTTTCGATGCTTTCATATGTTGTGCTATTTAGTTTATTGAAATTCTGGCACTGATGACCCATTAATTCGCTGAGTTACTGATGAGGAAAGTAGGAAGTTAACAACATGCCGGAGTCTATCACTCTGCCTCCTGTGGGCAGTCCTTACGCTACACACATTTCCTGTCCTTCCACACCTGCGTCACTGCGGCTTTGTTACCCGTTGCCCTTCTGTTGCACGTGTGAATTAAAGGACGTGGTAGAAGCCTGCCATTTATCATGTTCTTTTCACTGACTCGCAGTTTTTTAAAAAATCTATCATAAAGGCTACTTTTCATTGTCTTCATGAAGATATGTGCTGTCATTCATCCCAAGCAAGTATTGCATGAATAATTATGGAGTATTTTTTCACAAATTGTGATAGTGTTTTAATTGTTACAATAAAGCAAGCTTCAAAGAGTTCTGTGAATTACTGTGAGTTATAAATACTAGTCATGGGTGACACTACAAATTAAGTATTTAAAATATGTGATCTCACCCATTATGCCCACAGACTGTATAGCCCAATTCCCTCGGTTGAAATCACACATTTCCCATTTATTAGTTGTGTGGCCTTGGACAAATACTGTAGTTAATTTTCATGTGACCTTGAAAACAATATCTATTTCATTAGAGTACTTGTAAGGTAAGACAGTGTAAGATGCCAGGAATACTGCTGAGTCTAAAGAAGAATGTACACTATCTGTTACTTAGTATAATATATTAAAAGAATTTAATAAAGAAACACATATGTATGGTTATCACACTGTAATGATGCCATTTTTAAATCTTAGCTGAAAGATTTGATAGGTATTCTCAGGCCATGCTGAATAGAGGCTAAAAACCAATCTCATGTTTAGCTTGCTATATTTCTGAGCTTTAGAAGAAAAAACTTGCATCTCTCATCTTCCTCTACTTTCCTAGGCAGGTTTCTAAGATGCAATTTATTCTGCTTGTGCTCTTATGGCTTCTAATTTTCATGTTAGAAAATTGGATTGTTTGTAATATTGAAAACATGTGAACTTACCAATGAACTAGCAGAAAACTGAGATCAAGGATAATTCATAGAATAAGGCAGTCTGTTACTAAAGATGCGCAAAGAGAAAATTGTAACTCTTTCCATCTCAAGAAAGGCAAGGTCGGGATTGGTTTGACCTCCTATTACTGTACAAATTTTAGTTCCTGACTTCTTTTCCAAGGAAAATGTTTATAGCTTTTTCGTCTGCTGCTGCTGTATTTGTGAAGATGGATACTGAGTGTAGGCCACTACTTTTCAAAATCTTGCCTCTTTCCTAAGATTTAGTTGGTTTATTTTATTCTCTTGTCAGATTTTATTCTGGCACTCTGTTTAATTTGCATGCGGGGTGATTATAGGTTTGCTTTTGGGGGGACATACAAGTCCATCAGAGATCTCCTCTACCCTTCGAGGTAATTCGCAGGTGGCCTGATTAAGTTGTAAATTTATTCAGCTGAAAATGCTTCTGAAAGGAGATGGAAATAAAATCATTCAATCATTTTTGAGAATTAAAATTAACTTAGTATGTTTAAACAAGATAATTTAGATTTTCCCTATGGATAAAGCTATTTTCAGTAATATTTCTACAGATAATTGATTTCCAGCACTTAAGTTTTCTGAGTAAAATGTATATTCCCTCAAATGTCAGCCGGCATGTTAGGCCAGTTTAATAGTTTTCTCCAGTAATTATTTTGATTTTAGGTTCTGTTTTCTTTAGCCCAAATTTCTTTTTCTGGTCCAGATTATTTTCCTAAGAGAAGCTAATGAAAGTAACTTTTGTGTGGCCCATCGAGGAGTGTCAGTAGATCCTTTAAAAAATGTTTGGTGACAGAGTAAGAAGGATTGTGAGTGGGACGTGGAGAGAAGAGCCTTGGTTCATAAACAGATAATTCACTATCCTTGTAAGGGAACAGAACCTCTATGTTAAGAAATGAATTTCTCTTCTGTACATAGATATAAAGTC